AGAATTACATATAAAAAGACGACGGAGTGTAGAAGGGGGGTTTGGTGGGCCGTATTGTTTTTATCTTATGTTATCAGTGACTGAAGCGCAAGCAAAGCTCACAAACAATGTGTTTTTAAGTTGGTATTCTCATAGCAAAGCTCATGGTTCTCTAAAACTTCATGCATTGCTGAAGTTTTTTGTGAAATACTACCCAAGATGGGGAGGTAAAATTGCGTTAATGGCGCACGTGGAGAACGTCACGGATCGGGCACGGAAGGGGCGGATAATTGGGATGAGAGAGGCGCCTCGCAGGAGCGGCGTACGGGCGGGATGTGAAAACCCTGGAACACCACCAAGGCCGGATAAAGCTAGTGAGCCGGCCAGCGAAGACTTTTGGGTGCGGGGCGGCTTCACAGGGCGAGGGGGCCGCATGTGGCCTGAGTCAGGATGAGGCCCCTCCACAAGGGATGGAGGCGCCGAGGGGGGAGGCAACCAGTCTGGGGTGATCGGCGTGACGCCTAGGAGAGGGGCGGCCTGCACAGCGGGCATATTCACAGACGGTGCATACAGATTTTTGACAGAGCGTAAGAGCATTAAAATTATGGAACGCAGCCACGAGAACGTGAGTCGCCTCCACGACACCGGGGCGAGACAAACCCAAACATCGGTTTGTAGAACGACGGCCATCCTCCAGACACATGCTAGACATGCACTCCCCCAAAGCTTGTCCCGCGTTATACTGACATTGTATTCTGATCCATTATCTGAGATGACTGTTCACCAGTGAAGACACACACTGAACCAATAAAATACGCAACATGTAAAAATCGTGATATGCGCGATTGGAAACTTCTTTTTGAGCAAGAAACGAGAGAGGAGACACGAGAGGCAGGAACTTGATGCAAACGATGGTTTATTCACAAGACATGGGTGTGCACAATGACAGCAAAAGATGCCAAACCAATGCGGAGAGACTCTACCCAGACCCAGTATTGGCTAGGTGTCTGAGAGAAAATCAACAGTTTGTGCATAACAAGATAAACCAACACCTCTATCAGCTGACGCCAATAGGCAGGAACAGGGAGACAAAACACTGAGAGCACAGCAGCCAAGGCTACAGGTGCCTGTGCTCAGTCAGGACAAGACCTGGGGGGTATACCACGAAACTGGTTCAACCTAACCTGGATATGTTTGAGTTAGCCGGTTGGCCTAATCCAAAACATACGCCCTCTCGCTAAACGGCACTACGACACGTGTTATCAAGTGGATCGCTCAAGCCAGCCGTGTCCTATCTAGTTAGGTGCGCGTTCACATAAAAGGGGTAGTATTTGGAGCATTCAACCAATCACAAACATGGAGAAGCTATAACAGCGCCGGAGCGTCAATACTTTCCGAATGAAAAAGGAGATGATATAATGGTAGACAAATTAGGAAGACTCAAACATCCCACGACGAAACAAGCTTGGTAGCCGGCAGGGATAAAAAGCCACCCGGTTAGCCGCACCGGTGCGAGGTGATAACAACAGTGTGAGCTGGGGCCTTTTGGCAGGCAAAAGAATGAGAGTCCTTCGCGCGTACATAAACTAGCTATGATATGCGGCCGGAGGGGCCGCGGGTAAGAGCACGGACGACTCTAGTATTCGGACGATGGACCGTGCACGCGGTGACGAAGGTGTGAAGGAAAAAGGACCGCATTGTCTCTCGCCGTGGGGACGACGTGCTCGGTGGGGAGCGCGAGGAGGATTTACGATGGTGGTGCCTCTGGATGCCAGCCCAGGGATGGAGCCGACAGGAAGGACTATAGAATCAGGTCCTCTTATGGGCTGCATGGAAAGGGTAGGTGTGACTTGCTCTAGTGTTTTTCTTCGTTTACTCTGGGCTGTTGTATTGGCGGTCTCTTATATTTGTCTGGGGGCTGCTGTCGACTCAGGGGGGTTGGGGCGGTGGCGGTCGTGCGGTGCCGCCGCAGTCAGTAGTAGGCGGTAGAGCAAAGGATTCTCCACGGGGGTTACGGGATGTAATGTTAGTATTAGTTCAATGGAAGAAGTATGCAACTTTCAGATGTAGAAAAAAGGAGATTTTTGCTTGTTACACTGGCCAATCATGGATCTAGCATTGAATTCACAATTTAAGGTAGAGCGGGAGGGGGGGTAAGAAGAACGTCCGAAGTGGGGATTAACCACCATAGCCGAGCGGTTATTTTGAATGCCATTGCATCTCAAAGTCATATACAGTATCACACGAGTGTAATGTGCTCAGAGGGGGGGGTCGTCGGGGGCGGCGCCGTGTGGTGCCGGGGGGGAGGGGCGCCGGGGCCGGGAGCCGCGTCCGGAGGGTTGGGCGTGTCTGTTGTGGAGCGGTGATCGCTGGCGGCTGACCGGGTCCCGGGGGAGTGGACGCTCGAGCTCCGGTCGTTGTGGTATTTGCGCCGAGAAGTTGGAGAGCGAGGGACAAGATCGAGTAGAAGAGGAAGATAAGAGCTTGCCAGCGCGTATGGGACGCGGGGGGCACTGGTGTCGAGCGAGGAAAGCCGAGTGGGAACAGCGGGAGCAGGAGCGTAGGTCAGGCGCCAGGCGTGCTCGGTGCGGGGCCGCCCGGGATAAACTGGTAAACGCGTAGCCGCGCAGTAGTGTTAAACCTAAAAAGCTACACTAAACGAAAAAGCATATGTGTGGGGAGGAGAGGATGCCTTAACCGCAGGCAGAAACAACGGAGGAAAGCCTGGCCCCGGACACCAGGCGGGGCGCGGCGGCCAAGGGCGCGTGGCAACCGCGCCGGGCGGGCGCTGTAGCGGAAGGACGCGGAGCGCAGAGCGCCTTGCGCCTAAAACAAGTGCGGGCCAACTGTACAACCTTCCGTGTTTTGCCCTAGTATAAGCTGTGGCACGACGTAGGTCTTCTACTTCTTTAGTGGGCGCTATCTAACTGGAATGGCCGTGTAATGCTCAACGATACCCCCTCAGAAAGTGAAAAGTTGATCAGCACGGTTTG